AGAAGAAGAACAAGGAAAGAAAATAGTATTCACTGTTGATATCAAAGTATAAACAGGATGGAATCAAATGTTAGATAGACATATGAAAAAGAAGACAAATGACAAACAAAAAAAAGATATAGATATGTGTACGGAAGTAAATGAGAGTAGTGTAGCAGAAGAAAAAAAGAACTCGTTCATAAGGCGTGTCGATTGTCTATCAGTTTTGTTAAGTAAACATATCTGATAGGTTCGGAAGGGTCAGGTGTCATTGAAAATAGATCACGTCTAAATAGAAAAACAAATTTATTAGATATATATATAGTAGATATGTCTTTGAATTACGTCTTCATTATTAGTTATAAAAATAAAATGTCATGTATAATGAAGACCTTACGCCTACGATGTGAAGGATATTGACGAGTTAATAAGCATATTTAGTCTTTCGACTATCATGATATTTATATACACAGTTGATAGATAAATGTATGTTATCATATTTATAAGAATAGTAGCTTCATCTACATTACAGTCTGATGTAGGTTCAAAAGGGGGAATATCGCAGTAACTGAAATTATTATTTTTCTAATTAAAATGTCAAATAGAAGCACTTTCTACTGAAAAATCCTGGTATTGTTTTATCAAATGAAGATTTGACTATCCTACGACTTGGTAAAAATATTTTCTACAATATATAAATAAAGCATTAGTCTACTCGAATAAATAGATTAGAAAAATACAATAATTAAAGAAGACTATGATAGATCGATTTGAATAATATCTTTACTTATATAAGATATATGATATTAGTAGTTCAATATCGATTTTCATAGGAGTTCTAAATATAATAGAACTGAAAATAAATAACTATGTTTTCGTGTATTTCAAATGAAATTTCTAAATATATTTTATTCTCATAATAATTTCTAAATATAATTTACTTCTCTGTAGCTTGGTTCAGCTTGTATCATAAATTCATCAAAACGCATATAAAGTGTTTCAAATGTTGGTCGATTATCAGGATTTTCGTGCCAACAAGAAAACATGATTTGATAATAATGATCAAGACACTCATTTGGCTAAAAAAAAAGAAAACGATTGTGTTTGTTTTTTTTACTTACAAATAAATCATTTTACTTTCGGCATTCGATAACCATTAAGTACTGATTGTAGTGCTTCATTATTCGACATTCCAGGATATGGATTTGAACCATGTGTTATTAATTCATAAAGTAAAATACCAAAACTCCATACATCTGATTTTGTTGTATATTCTTTTTTAGTTGCAGCTTCTGGTGCTGTCCATTTAATTGGAAATTGAGATTCACGATCAACCTGTAAACGACCACCTTGAAGAATTCTAGCTAAACCAAAATCAGCTATTTTCACAACATCTAATTCTCCAACAAGAATATTTCGAGCAGCTAAATCACAATGCACATATCGTTTTTGTTCAAGATAAGCCATACCTTTTGCAATCTAAATAAAATCTTCTTTTTAGATGAAAACATTTTTTTCCGAATTATTTACTTGTGCAGCAAAATCTAGTACAGTTTTAAATTTCATATTTTTTCCTGCTCCATCACGTAAATAATTTAATAAACAACCATTTGACATAAATTCCGTTACAATAAATATAGGTTCTTCATTTGTACATACACCATATAAACGTACAATATTTTTATGTTGTAGATCTCTCATAATTTTAGCTTCATCAAGAAATTTATCGACATTACATACACGACTTTTATTATCAGTTTTCATACATTTAATAGCTACATCACGTTGACCATATTTGCCTTTAAAAACTTCACCATAATTTCCTCTACCAAGTAATTCCGTACGTGATAATTGTGAACGATCTAATTCTAATAAACCATGTCGATCAATTGGAACAGTTGGTTCAATTTTACGACAAGCACGTGTTAATAAACAACAAAGACCATCAACATTTGCTTTATTAGAAAAATAAAATTTCGTATAGATTATAAATTTCTTTTATATATATATATATTTACCTCGATAATGATCAACAAGGTGTTGTAATGTTGGAAATGTATTTCTACTACTTATATAATAATATCCTTCATCAGTTCGACGTATACGATAATGTTTAACATGAAAATGTTTATCTTTACTTAAATCAAGAACAGATAATGACTCTTGACCTTCAGAAGAAAGAAAAAAAAGAAAAAAATAATATTTAAATCATTATGAGGAATATATAGTACAAATACTATACCTTGATTTGTATCCGAAGGTCGAATTAAAAAAGTTCCTTTTCCATTATGTGGTTGTTCGAGAAATCGTTCAGCATCACGACGATTTGTTTCAGTAAAATACCATCTAGATTAAACATGTACATATATACATTCTTTTCAACTATTTATAACATACTCGTATGCAGTTAAATCATTTATTGCTGATATATAATTTGCTGGTACATAACCAAGTTGTTTTGTTCGTAAATTTTTTGCTTGCCACCAATCATTATAACTATAAAAGAAAATCTTTTATATGTATTTGAAAGAAAGAAAAAGAATACTTACGTATATCTATCAAGTATTTCTAATCTATCACCTTTACGAAAACTTAATTCACCAGTTGTTGACGTACCGTTAAAATCATAATTAGCCACATAGATTAATTTATCTTGAAAGAAGAAGAAGAAAAATTAATAATAAAAAGAAAAATCAATGTATTTACTTGGGTTTTGTCTATTATAATTATTAGTCGGTTGATTGTCTCTTGAACCATTTGACGGCAGAGGGTAACCAACTGAAGGTGGTGGATTTTGTCTTCGATTCATACTACCATCTTGTGGTAGTTGACGTCTTGGATCATTAATACGATAGTCAGGATCTTGATAAACTTTTTCACGTTGTTTTCGACGCGAACCATTTCGATTTCCCATGAAGGAATAATAATATTCTATTTAGGACAGTAGATACAAATGATTGTATGTCATAGATATTCGTTTGAATAATCTGGAAAGCAAATAGACGAACAAATTAATTGACAATGTCAGTTGTTACTCTCTCATACGGTGTGTATGTTCAACAATTAAACGATCGGATGATTTTAACCAATAAAATATAAATGTCAACCTTAAGATTATATTTTCATTTTAATATTTCTCAATAGATAAAAAAAAGAAGAATGTAATTTAACTAGGATCTTTTTTTTTATTATTTTTATATAATAAATCAAACATCAAAACTAATCAATCTTACAAATAGTGACATCTATTGTTGTTCTCATATATGTATGTATGTTTTAATCATTCCAACGATGACCACATTGTACACATTTATAAAATGTTGTCATAGGTTCATCAGCTGAACGCGTTTGTAATTGCATAAAATATGCTTTTGTATAAGCACATTTTGGACATGTTACTTCTGTTTTATCAACATTTTCCCATGCTGCTGTACCACCAAGAACATCATCAACTGGTTTTAAACGTGTATATTGTCGTTCAGTTATTTTAGTTACAAGATCACATATATATGGACATGTGTTACATGCTAATCGATTGCATCGATCACCTTCTTCTACAAATAGCATATTACCACAACGAGGACCTGAAAAAGAAATAGAAAACTCATACATATATTTATATATATATATATATATACTTATGCTTCTTACAATATATCTGTTTATAGTAATGATGAGGATTCTGTAATATTACTACTTGATTCTTGAGTCTTGATTACGAAGGAATAACATCTAAGACTTTTCATATTCTACTCTTCGCTTAATCAATATTCTGCTTAACAGATAAACATCGACTAGAATATCTCTGAGTAAACACAAAAATAGGAAAAAAACACAGCATGTCAGAATGAATACTTGTTGAAAACCTAACAAAAAAAATAATTTTATAAAATTTTCCTGTAATGATTAAGAGTGCATTTTTGTTTTTATCATATATAAAGGTAAATAACTGATTTGGCGTGAAAATTGACGAACACATTCTACTTACGCAATAGTATGAGTAATTATTATACGAATCTATTTTCTATCGTATCATTAGTGACTTTGTCCCTGTTCTTTTTTTTTATAGTCTCAATTCACATGATCATGACCATCTTCAATTCTCTAAATATTTGTTCTTGTTCAATAAGAATAATTACTAACTATCTTATCTATATATTAGCATATTATATTTATTTGTATGTAAAATATATTAGTATGAATTATAACTGAACTTACAAAAGAACATTTTCTTATAGATCAATCTAACAAAAAGACAAAACAAATAATAATAATCTGAAAGAAAAACAAAACAAAAAATAACAATCTGGAATACTTATAAAATCAAATAAAATTTCATTTCAATTATTCAATAATGTATGCATACAAATAAACATCAATATCTTGTCCATTTTTATGGACTCGTTTACGTAAAAGACCTTCATAAGCAAAATGACATTTTTCTACAACTCGTCTTGATCCATTATTCCAAGTAAATATTTGTGCTTCAATACGAACTAAATTTTTCCATTGAATTTGACCTATTTCAATGACTTTTCCTATTACTTTAGACATAAAAACACGACCCCAATATGGTTCACCTAACCAATAACCAATTTCTGCTATCCTATCATTTTTAATCAAACTTTGAAGACCACATCCACCTATCATTTCATCCGTTTCATTTAAACGAATATTAAAAAATAGGGTCGGTTCTAAATTCGATTTTATTGCACTAAGAAAGTTTTCTCCATCTTTTATTGTATATGGTTGAGGTATATGCGATGTATTGGCGTATATTGTAGGATTATTTAAATATTTAACTAATGAAGGAATATCATTCTCGGTTAATAAATTGTCAATATATATTTCATTACTAATTTCATATCGATTTGAAGTCATTTTATAATCTAGAACATGCAAAAAGAAGAAAAAATCTTGTTGTTTTTTTTTTATTTTATTTTTACTTGATTAAATAAAACTAACAAATGCTAGATTATATATATATATGGAAGAACAAAAAAAAAAAGAATGATGAAATATCAAGCAAGTACTTTTTTACGTATTTCTTCAGCTTTTTTATCATCAGTAAGACGTGATAAAATTTTTAAACCAAATTCTATTGCTGTTGCTGGTCCTTGACTAGTGATGACATGATGATTATTCACTATACTTTCAACAACACGTTCATTTAAATTTATTGATTTAAATTTATTTTTAAGTGAATTGGCAACATCAGGATAACATGTTATATCATGTTTACGTATATTTTTATCCGCATCATATAAATGTGTACTTAAAGCCAATGGACCAGCACAAATAGCTGCAACTATTTTATTTGTTTTATAATGATCAAGGAGAATAGCACCTGCTTGTTTACATGATGCAATTGTTTCTGTACCTTTATTACCTAAAAATAAAAATATAGGATTTTTCTTTCTTTCTATAAAGAATGATATTTACCACCAGGTATAATAATTGCATCAAATTGTTGTCCTTGAACATCGTCTATATGTAAATCAGGCAATATTTGAATATTGTTAGCACATGTTAATGGTTTCTTATCGTTTTTTTCGACACTACATAATTTTACATCAATACCACCTCGTCGTAATATATCGACAGTAGCTACAACTTCAGTATCTTCTGAACCATTAGCCACAAATACTAATGCCGCCGCCGCCGCTTTCGAACCACTCCTAATAGAAATACATGGATATATACATAAATAAGAATCATGTAACTAAATCTTTTTTTATCCAGCTGTTTTTCTTTTTTAAGTTTTTAATACATAAGATTATTCTTTTTTGCACCACAAAAGATACATAGACACACACATAAGCAGAAGAAAGGAAACCGAAAGAAAAAAGAAAACAGAGAGTACAAATTATCCTAGAGAAAAAACATATATATGTTGTCAATGTTTGAGATCATGCATACGCATAAATATAATTATTTATTGAATTCTTTTTTTCTGCTTTTTTTTATTTCATATTAACTGTAGGAAGTGTTCGTCGTTTAGTTGCTGTTGGTCTTATATTAGTTGATGATGCCATTGGAGGATGAATAGTAGAAGATGGAATGAGACCACTTGTTGGTGGATACATAGGACGAGATGATACAACTGATTGTTGTTGTCGTACAGCAGTTTTAGGCATTTTAACCATTTGATTCATTTTTGTTTGTTGTGATAAGGCAGTTGCATTACGATGATACTGTTGCTGTTGCTGTTGTAGTTGTTGTTGTAGTTGTTGTTGTTGATGTGCAGGCATAGGTGTTTTATTATGCTGTACTGATCGAATATTATTCATTAGATTCATTTGCGGTGATATAATAACATTAGATTTTCTTGCTGCATTTGTTGCTGATGATATAGGTTGTTGGGAAAGTTTTGTAGCAAAATTTTGTGCTTGTGGTAAAGATGTTTTCGTTTTAGATTTTTGATGATTATGATGAGTATTGTTATTATTATTAATATTATTATTAGATGTCATTGTAGGTGGTATAGAACGATTATTATTAGTCATTATTTTAGAAGGTGTTGTTGTTGTTGTTGTTGATGATGTTAACGATGATGATGATGCTGAAGATGGTATTGAACGCGATGCATTCTTTTGTTGTTGTTTGATAAGTGTTTGAAATGTTTTTTCAATTTCTTTTTCTTGTTCCATCGCTGAAACAAAAACATTTTTTAATAATGTTGAATGTTCTGTTTTTGATGTTCGTCGTGTAACTTGTTTTTTACAACGATCACATAAGATGTTAATTTGTTGATTATTATTTAAATGTTTCCACCAACGTATTGTAAAATCTGTACCACAATGTTCACATATATGTGGTTCTTCAATTTGTGCACGATCAGTAAAACGTTGTGGTAAACGTTGACGATCGGTTTGTAATTCATATAAACATTGTACAACATCTTCAAGGCCAATATATGGTTGAAATTCTAGACTAGTTGGATTTGGTATAAATAAAATATCTTGTATTAAAGGTTTTGGTGATGGAATATTTAATAGATCACGTTCAAGTTGAGTACGTAGCGCTTTTTTCGCTTGTGTTTTACGTTCTTCAAGTGAATGAAGAGTTGGCGATGGTTTGGATGGTATTGGCGTAGGAATTTTAGTTAGTAATGGAGGATTTATTGAATTTGATGATGGTTTACGTGTTGCTGATGGTAGTGATTGTTGAAGAGACAAACGTGATAATGATGTTGAAGACGAATTTATTGTTGGAGGTATAGGTGTTGTTGGTTTATTAGTTGGAATACGTGTTGCTGTTGGATGAAAACCATTTGTTGTTGTTGTTGGAGTAGTATTTGATCGTACTGCTAATTGTTGACAAGCACGTAATTTTTTTAGTAGAACTAAATTCGCTTCTTCATTTCGTAGTTCTTGTACAATAGAATGAAGTTTTAAACGTTTTAATGAACGTACAGTATTGTCATTGGTTAAATTATTATTTGATTCTGGTGATAAGGGCCGTTTGTTCGACATGATATTTTATCTGAAATTCTTTTGTTTATTTGAATTTTATTTTTTTTTTTTAGTATTTTCAGTTTATTAATATAATAAAACTTTTTATTTTTTTTTATTATTAATAAAATACGAAATAATTCAATAATACATACCATAAATTAATTGAACGTATAGAAAATAGATTAATTGATTGTTTTGTTAAAATTTGTCGTAGCATGATATATATCTAAAACATAAAAAAAGATGAGATATTGAAGAAAAAGAAAAATATAAACGAATAGATTTCTTTTTTTTCTTCTTTTTTCTAAAGATAATATCGCCACCGCGTGATTGTACCTGTATTGTGAGCGTGTGTGCAGTACAGCAACAGTAAGAGAGCAAGCAAGAAGGGTAAAACTCAACGGGGCCGCTACCAGCCAACTAACGTGGTAAGCAACCCTTCATCTCTTTCTATCATCCCTCAATACGGAATTTCGTTCTTTCTTTCCTCTCTCTCTCCGTCTCTTTCCATCGTCATTGCCGTCGTTGTCTCGGTCAAACCTAAGTTTCTTATTTACTGACGACCGAAGGTATTTGGCTCCATAATAGAATGTAGAGGATAATAAAAGAAAAAAAAAGGATATGATAATCATCTCATCAATAATTCGCTTTGAACTTCGTGAAAAATTTGAATATCTCAACAATATATATATGTATGTATGTATATATATATAAATATACCTTAAAGCGTGAAAAAAAAAGAAGGTAGTTTTTGCGATGATGGCAATAAAGAAGCCAACATTCACATACACCTACGCATAGAGGCAAACACAGAAAAAGATCGACGTAGACAGAAGTCTAAAGAAAGAATAGTCGAGTAAAGAAACAGAATACGATGACGAATGTAGGGGACTCATTGAGTATGCGAGCGACACCGTGTAGAGAAATGTGACGATTTGTTTCCTCAAGCGTGCAAAAGAAAGAAAAGGGAGAAGAAAGCATACAGATTGAATATAGACTATGAACATTAGTTGTACATATGTACATAAATATATGTATGTTATTACAAGAAAAAAGAAAGAGAAAAACAATTTTCAATAAAGATTTGCATGCATTAACTAATTAGACTAGAGGTTTTTGAACTTATTTTAACGAGGATATACACATGCATTCGATAATCTTCTTACTCTTTATCTTCTTAGCATAAAAAGTCTTTAAGACATTTGATTACAAAAAAGAATAAGTTCATCAAATATCTTCTTCATAGATAACAACAATGAATGGGCTATCTAATGACGATACTTTTTCTTGATGGGTATGAAAGAGAAGTACGATCGTGTGCACTCTGAATTGGCTGGCTCGTTTACTTGCTTATACTCTCGCAAGATGGAAAATGGATGGTGATGGGAGGGGGAAAGAACGCGAAAGAGAACATGCCGTGTCGAACGCCGATACAAACGACGCCTGTTTCAACAAAACGATTGACCTCTTACTGTCGACAAGAAAAGAAAAGAAGAAAGGAGAAAAGCGAATATAATCATAGTTACTAGTCTGCTAAAAATCTTTAAATCTCGAATAATTTATCATTAATTATTCGTTTTATCAGATATGTAATCATTGATTAATATTCTAGAATTATTCGAATGAATAAACTAAAGATTGAAGAAATAAATACAAAATAAATAAATAAACAAAATCGCAAAAAATTCAATTGTGAATCGTTTCTTTCTTTTTTTTTCGATTCAGTTCTTCCTTTGAAAAAAAAAGGCTACCAAGAGATAAATAACAACTTATCCGAAAAAACAAATGTTAAATCCTTCGAACAGAGGGCGGAAGAACGAAGAAAGAAAAAGAAAAAAATGACGATTGGAAGATCATTGATCCAGTTGTCTACGTAATAGACCAGTGGCGGCGCCGTAAAATTGTAGAAAAAAATAATACATAAACAATTGTATCTTCATTTTATAAACAATATGTCTGAACCACCAATTCCAAGTGCTCGTCGAGCACTTTTATTTGCAAAATATCGACCACTTTTAACAACACCATTCTTCTTTGGATTTTCAACACATGTTCTTTCTCCAAATTTATTTACCAGGTTTAAAAAATTTATCTCTATATATTCATTTTCTTTTTTTTCTTAATAGATTACTTGGTCCTCGAATCGATTTACCGATAAGTAATATACTTCTATTTGGATCTCATGTTGGTGTTACTTCGTATTTATATACGTCAAAGCATTTAAGAAAGGCTGATAAATTTGAACGTTTATTATACAGGTAGAATAATTAAATTTATCGAAAATTTTTTTTTGAATGTTTTCTTTTAGTGTATATGGTTCAGCAATGTTTAATTTTGGTACAGTTTTAGTTATGTCGCTTGTTCGATCAATATTTCCTGATAATGAAACACTTCGTTTAGGAATTGGTTTATCAACTGGCGCTGCTTTATTATTCATTGGTAGAAAATATGTGAATTATATTGATCAAGTTTTTGAAACAGTTCGATTTCGTGCAATACCACGATCTTAAAAACGATACAAAACTATTATCCAATGCATGATATATATTTTTATTCAAGTTATCTCGGTGTTTTTCAATGTCGTATTCATTTTAATAGATGTTAGCATGAAATATTAGAATTATTTGCTTTTTTATTATTATCTAAATTTGTGAAATAGTCAAAAAAGTCATTTTTTTATACTTTAATTAAATATCATTTTATATACGCAATTCTATTGTTTTTAATCAAAGAAGATTTATGATAGAAATATCAATTGATTGAAGAGTTTGACTGATAATAGTTGGACTATCATCCATCCTGAATAAATTTGTTTATCGAAGATTATTTGATAAATATCGTTCACACATAAGAGAACGAGTTCCGTATGATCGTTTTAATGTAAATGTAGATCTTTCGATATTCTTTCTCGATGAACGTAAAATCAATAACAATGATTATCATGAAGATAATCGTTCGAAGAATAGTAATACTGATTGAGAAATATTAAATGTTGAACTAACGTGAAGAATTTTTATACTTCATAAAAATTTATACGATCTAATTTAAGACGTTCTTTACCTTGAGACATATTATCAATTAGAAATAATCGTCGTTGAATACTATTAGAACTAATAATCAACTATATATGACCTTCTATGACAGATTGTAAAAAAAAATATAGAATGACAAGTATACATATAGCCTTGTTTGTGAAAGATGTGTAGAATTGATTTACTTTGTAACTGAAGTTAGTTGACAAGTTATTTTTTTTTTTGGGATGAGAGAAAAAAGAAAACTATGAACAACATGTTGTAGTTACATTTGAGAATTAGGCAATTAAAAAAAATATATTCAGAATAGGATTCATGAACGAAGTCAATTACTCGTATTATAAAATGAATAATTTATCTTTAAATTATTTGTATATTCTGAGTGATGTCTTTTTTTATGTCACTATAAGAATAGTTAAATACACCATTGATGCACTTTAATATGACAAAATATAATTATATCAATCTAAGACATTGCATATAAAAGGTATATAGATATATCTCCATTATCTTAAAAAATTATAATTAACAAGCTACGTTAGAAAAATCTATTAGTTTATATGTCCGAATGTAAGTCAAGAACTTCTTTTTACATCTATGTCGACATGTGGCGAAATCTATTCTACGGTTTTCTATTGCCAATCTGTATTTTACCTAATTTTGGATATCTGACGTCCTAATTTCTCTATGGCTTTTCGTCTATGTCAGCATCGAATATTAAACACAGCAGGTAACCTTTAGATTCATTAGAATTCAGTACAAAGTACATAGCAAAGTTTTATAGTAATCGTTTTTCTACAATTATCGTATGTCAAATTATTAGAAAATAAATTAAAAAAGTAAATAAAATGAGAAAACGACTCTATCTAACCAGTTCGAGTTCTTGTTTCAATATGTTTCTCTCGCACAAAATGTACTGTGTACATTCATTTTATTTTGGATGAACTCTATATCATGTTTGATAGCGATCCGATATATCACTCCTGTTTTTTATGTTTGCTGTTGGAGTTTGAGTTGCATATAAAGATAGATCTTCAATAGTTTGTAGTAACCAAAGTAAAATCCAAGAGAGATGACTGAAAAAAGAAGCGGTTGTCGAGGAAATAAATACTTGAGAGTTTACATAGGTACAATGTGAAAAGATTCTATTAAATCTGAGTCAATTAGAATAAGACGTGGGAAATTATAGGCGATCATTTTTTTATCTGAAATATTGTGTATATAAAAATCTACTACCTACAAGAATAGTCATTGATTACCCGAGGTTAAATTATCTTTCTCTGCTTATATTAGGAAACTGCAAAATCACTTTTTTTGGTCCCGATCCCGGTCTTGATAAGAGCTTAAGAATAATTCTGGTGTTGTCTTCATCTATGCAAAAAACCATATGAAGTTCACGAAAATTCTCGCTTTTTCGATTGTAAATTCAATCTATACGGTTTTTCTTGAACTATAAAATAACACATTTGTCAATTCTTAATTAAAGAGAAAAAAAGAAATAAGAAAATGGCTGATCTCATACTTGATAAAAACATTGAGGAATTAGCTGACAATTTTAGTCTTGGTCCCGCCGGGACCGAGACCACTTCGCAGTTTCCTAGCTTATATATATTTTGTTTCAGATGTCTGTACTAGAATTTAATAATTCCAATAACGTTCATTATTCGTGGTTACAACGTTTTGCTGGTAATATAATTCGGTATGGTTGTACAAGTCGATTGCAACATATAGCTATTGTTATGGATGGTAATCGTCGTTTTGCACGTGATCTTAAATTGGAACGTGCTCGTGGACATACATTAGGTGCTGATAAATTATTTGATGTTTGTCAATGGTGTCATGATTTAGGTATAAAAGAATTAAGTGTTTATGCATTTTCTCTTGAAAATTTAAAACGTTCTCAAGATGAAATTGATACATTAATGAATATCGCACGTTTAAAATTAAATGAAATTGTAAAATCATTAGATAAAATACATGAACAACAAATATGTATACGTGTTATTGGAAATTTAGATTTATTACCAGATGATATACAACAATCAAGTTATCGTTTAATGAAAGAAACAGATCATTATAA